GTTAGCAGGAATGCTGTATCGTTATATCTCTTGGCAGTCAGTATGGCTGAAGATATCACACACAGGATATACACTGTATAAAAATAAAGACATTTCCATTCTTCTCTAAGAGCGGAGGAGTAGTGATGAAAAACATGAGAAGTCATGAAAAACCTTGTACATGAAAAAGATCTGTAATATCTATATCTTTTTTTTTTTTGACAGCATAAGAAAAGGTAGATTCTATGTACCATTTACATAGCCTCATGATTTGAAAAATTGTTTATAGTTCATTCTTATATATAGTAACAGATATGCCAACAGATGGTATTTTAATTAGTAATATTATCCATACTATAAGCAGTGGTGGGTTGTTCCCGGTTTGGCCCGGTTCGGGCAATCCAGTAGTGGTAACGATGTGACATCAACAAATCAGTTCTCTATGACTGTGAGCTGGGCCTTCCCGCCCGCCCTCATGTTATACCTACCTTTATTTGTCATTTTTTATCCCAACTGATAGGTGTGGCAGAGTGGATTGCTGCGCCTCAGCTGGGCAGAGATCTAATGTGCTTGCATAGAGTGCAAGTTCGGTGTGCGTGTGAGCAAAGCGAGCACACGCGCAGCGATCACGTGCAAAGTGCATGCGCAAAGAGAACCTGTGGTAACTCCGGTTGGAACCCACCACTGACTATAAGGAAATAAAATGTGCTCATCAAATCACCATAAAGATGCTTAAACTCTTACCAACTCACTCTTATTTTTTATATAGTTTAGTGCCATGATGGATACCTTTCATGCCAGTGAATGCCCTTTGTTTAAAAAATAAACCAGTGTGCAGGATTAGGAGTTTCAGTATATTTCTGTCCTAATCTTAATACTTATTTTGTTTCATTTTTTGACAAAAGTCTTCAAAAAATCACTGCACTTTTTAAATAGTTTCCCGACAAATTTTGATGGCATGATCTTGTAAGGTTCCAATAAGGACAAAATAAAAGAAGATGTACCTATACTTTATTGTTACAGGTCATACTGTTATAAACAGAATGAATAAATCTTTGGGTGGCTTCTTTACAATAAACCCTAGGGAGAAAGCAAATAATAACAGTTTTATTTGCTGTCTGCCTCGTTCCAACATCTATTGTACCGAACTGAAACACAGATGGTTTTATAAATCTGGATAGGACAGAAAGTTACCTAGGTTTATGGTGTTAACAAAATGTTTGAGTTTCTAGCAGCAGACTCAGTCCTGATTACTGAGATGACCTGAAAAGGTCCAATTGCACCTTCTTTTTTTTATTAATGTCTTGAAATGGATGATTTGAAGTGATTGCACACCATTTTTCCATCCATGCTAGCAGGGTTATTCTGAAAAGACTGGGAAATGCATTCTGAAACCATCTGACACACCTTCAGTTATTATAGATCAGGTGTCGGCAACCTGCAGCTCTTTCACCCCTCTGCTGTGGCTCCCTGTGGCCCTGTAGTAGCGGCAGAGGGATGAAAGAGCTGTCACCCTGTCGCCTTAATGTGGGAGCAAAGTGGAGAAATCCAAAATTTTTCCCTACCAGTTCTGTGGGCGTGGCTTGGTGGCCGTGGCTTGGTGGTCATGTGACTGGGTGGGTGTGGCTTTGTGGTCATGTGACTGGGTGGGAGGGCATGGCCAACTCAATGTTACTCCCACCCAGTCATATGAAAAAAACCCCAGGTTTTGTGGCTCCTGGTGTTTTCTGTGGGAAATAGATCATGTGACTGGGTGGGCGTGGCCAACTTGATTGGTCTCACCCTTAGGAAATTTCTCCTTAGTCCAACTCACAATAAAATAGCACAATAAAATAGCACTGTTCCAATATTTAGAATAGAATATAGAGTAACAGAGTTGGAAAGGAGATCTTCCAACCCCCTGCTTAGGCAGGAAACCCTACACCACTTCAGACAAATGATTATCCAATGTCTTCTTTAAAACTTCCAGTGTTGGAGCATTTACAACTTCTGGAGGCAAGTTGTTCCACTGATTAATTGTTCTGTCAGGAAATTTGAGGGGCTCCTACAAAAATGAGGGAGTCAATCTATTTTCCAAAGCACCAAAAGGCACAACAAGAAACAATGGATAGAAACTAAACCAAAGAGAGAAGCAACCTAGGACTAAGGAGAAATTTCCTAAGGGTGAGACCAATCAACCAATGGAATAGCTTGCCTTCAGAAGTTATGGGTGCTCCATCACTAGAGGCTTTCAAAAAGAGTGAGGGAAGTACACCCCAAAAGGACAGTGCCAGGAACCACTAAAACAATGCAGAAAACTTAAAACAGCTATTCCCCCTTTTAAAAAAAGTCAACCCCAAAGCAAATGCAGCAGCTGAGAGGGAAACTAAGAGCAGCTTAGTCAATTAACTCAGGCTAATTGAAAGCCTGGGCATGCTGCCAAAAGCCATTAACTCTTCCAGCTCTATTATTCTATGTTCTCTATGTTCTAAATTGGGTGCTTCACAGCAGAAGCAATACAGCTGGCTGGACCACACATGCATTAAATTCACAGCCTGCATGATCAAGCTGCATCACTGTCCCCTCCTGTATCTTTCCCCGCAGGAAGAAACGAGAAGTAGCCAACACTGCAGCAGCTATAAAAGGTGTTGGGAAACTCCAGGGAGTTTAAGCTGATCACAGAAGTGTTACTTAATACTCTTTATAATGAAAATGTTTGTAATCTTGTCCTTCTTCCTGCAGGGAAGAGGTTAATCCCATCCTAAATGAGTGATTGATGGGTTTTCCTGCCCTAATCCTGTCAATTTCTGTTGTTTATTGACTTGATTCAGCGTGTATAGCTGCATTCCAGTTGCAACTGTTAAGTGGAGCTATTAACTGAAGGGAGAGAGAGAGAGAGAGAGAGAGAGAGAGGAAAAAAAACCTCTCTTGCACTTTATTTTTAACTGGTTCTCCGAGCTCCTAAGCAATTTACTAACGGTTCAGGAGAACCAGTGAGAACCAGTTGGATTTCACCTGTGGAAGTGCCCCTGTACTTGCCTTTGTTCAGCAACAGGATTCCGCCTGGTACGTTTACTGTTGCAGCCAGCAAAGAGGGCTGGGAGAGAACGGCAGGGGCAGATCTTGCGGGGTGGGGGTCATCCCCCAGGCCTGGGCTTCCTCCTCCCTCATCAGCGGGGCTAACAGAAAGAAAGGGGCAGCGTGGGGAAGCACTCCCCTCCCCTGCCAAGCACTGAGCACAAAAGCCCAGTGGGGAGGGGGGATCGCCTAGCAGAAGTGCCCCCATTGGCAAGTCGGACGGTGGAGAGGCCTGGCCCAGCTCTCACAGCTGTCCTTCTATTTGGCACTTCCAACGCAAGTGGCCACCTTTGAAATGTGCTGTGCCTTTGAGGAAGACAGGCAGCGATGGCTCGGGCTGGGGGGGGGACGGGGGACAGAAGAGGTATCAGGGCTGCTTCCCCTCTCCTTAGCGAGCTGGGCCTGGAGGATGGTGGAGAGTTGCAGGCCGAGTGCCAGAGGGTCACCCCAACATGCATTTCCAAGCGCACGCTCCTGTGTCCGGAAGTGGGATTGAAAAGAAGCCCGGCTGGCTTTCCTTTTGGCATGGGGCAGGGGGAAGACCCAATATCCCCTCCATGGCCTACCTGCTGCTCTTGCGTGCTTCACAATGGGGGAGACTGGGTCCCCTCCTCCTCCTGGAGCCCATTTCCTGCCCCACTCGCCCCGGCAACTCTTACGTCTATGAAGATTCTCAGTCATCCAAATCATGGTTGTCCCAAAAGTGCTTTTTCAAAAGGCAACTGGACTTCCTTTGTTTTTCCTTGAAGATGTTTCGCTTCTCATCCAAGAAGCTTCTTCAGTTCTGAAATGAAGCTTCAATGAAGAATCGAAGAAGCTTCTTAGATAAGAAGTGAAATGTCCCCAAGATAAAACAGAGAAAGTCCAGTTGCCTTTTGAAAAAGCACCTTTGTGATATTCAAGTATTAATTAATTTTACTTTTGATCAGTATAAACTACAACACCGCAAAAGCGTTCACTTCCATATACTATTCTACAAAGTCTTGTACGTTTGTTGAATAATATACTTTGAAATTTTTAAATGTGATCATACATGCAATGCCTACCCACTTTCTATTCTCTTATGATGAGATATCTGAACATACTGCAATTGCCATTTGCAAACTTTTGCATCAATATCAATATCCAGTTAAAACAGCATTTTGCCGCTTTAAGTATGTTTTCTGTTTGAAAGATCTGTCAAATATAGAGATAATTAAAAACTCAAAATCTAACACATCAGTGTTTCCAGAAATTGAAGAATATAGGAGTGCTATATTTTTCAGATCACAATCAAAATATGAATAAAAATCATTTCACAGGGTGACATGACATGGGTATGAGGGAGCATGCACAGAATCCTTTGTTCCTGATATGACAAATTATTCATAGAGACTCTTGCAATACTTTAATTTAAAAAAACTAAAAAATATATCTATAAATGCTTTAACTGAATGGGCTTCTAGAATCAGGTACCTCAATTTGTCATACTTCCGAGTGATGGGAGTTTTTTCAACAACTCTTCGTTTTGTATGGTTTCTCAGCTCATAGGTTTATTTTGGAGAAGGATATTAAAATCACAAAGTTTAGAAGAATGTTCAGTTGACATTTTGGAAAACCACAAAACAAAAGATATTGTGTGGGTACTCTGTAGGAATATAAATTTATCTCTGACTAGAATCAATGGATGGAAATTAAGTGATATGGCCAAATTAAAGTTGTATCTCTCTTGCTCAGCTGGTGTGAATAAATAAAAGATTAGAAACTCTGGTTCTTCCATCTCAGATCCTCCTCAACCCTGAGGAGTATTCCATTAGTGAATTGTAGTGACCTTAAAGGTGGCAATTTTGATATAGCAGCAGTATATTGATTGGAGCACATGAAGGAGTTGCTTTAAAATAGAGGATAATAATGTTTTTACTCTTGTTGATTGGTACCGAAAGAAATTGAGTTTAGACTTGATTGAAAAGAAATTGACTCAAAAAGACTGGACAAACACAACCTTATTTATTTATTTGTTTGTTTGTTTGTTATTTAAATTGTTTGTTATTTAATGTTTTGCCGAGCTGACACCAATGCTGACACCAATGGTATGACTTATACATCAGCTGTTAATTCTCTTAAATTATATTAGTTTGGTATAAACATATTTTTAATTTTTCTTGCATGTATGACTGTTCCTTGCAGCTTGCTATTTTATTTGGTTACTGCTTTGTGGAGGGAAAAACTCTTAAACATGGAGGTTGTTGAGGTGAGGTGCGGAATGAGACTTCATTTGCTTACTTTCCAAAAGTTTAGATAGTCTTGGACTTAACTGAAGCATAAAGTATCAAGGATGGTTATAAACTGGTAGGTAATTATTATTTAATGAAAGACTGGATATTTAGCTGCACCTCTTGGATGCAAAGGTAAGTACAAGACCTTACCATCTCAACAATGAGGATTACACTCCCTCCCTCATAAAATTAAAAGCATTTTTTGTTATTGTTCCTGAGGCAAAAGTAGTATCTCTCCACAACTGAGGAGGAAAAATAATCGTATTACTACTACCAATAGTAATAGCAATTGGCATTGACAAAGTCAATTGTTACTTTAAACAGCTTACATGTGTGACAATACCTTTAATACTATCAAATAACTACCTACCTAACCTAGGTCCTTCGGAAGGATTAGAAAGGTAGATAAAAATGCCAAATTCAGTTTGAACATCTGGCTGACTAATGAATCATAATAATATAATAGTACAACAACCATTCAAACCATTTTCCAGAAGTTGTTGCCTCAGTTGTACTGATTATAAGTTGATATTGATGAAGCAGTATCAAAGGTGAATCAGTTTGTGTTCTAAAACCAATGATAAATATTTAATTTTTACCACATTTGCTTGGTGTTTAAAGCCGCACTTTTATTGTTGCCTTTCTTTGATGCATTCATTTTGACATGGTTTTTAACAACTGACCTTACACTTTTCATTCTTCTTTCAGTAAAGAATAAGAAATAAGGCTATGCCTGGGTGTCCCATATTTGGGTTTTTCTTGCCCTAGCAGACTTTTCTCATGTACATTTTCATTGCAATTCATTACATATATTTAATGACACAATTTTAACTGCACGTTACCTAGACTACTTAATAGAAAAATGTTTCAATTGAGTAAGAAAGTAAATACATACAGTACATACCAAATATATCTCTTATTGTCATAGTCAAAAGCATGAAATCCTTTCAAAGTACTGTTCCCAATTTCCCAGACCAGATCCACTCCAGGAACGGATTCCAGCTGAGTTATATTTTATCTTCACTGGGTCTATTGTCTTAAGAACAAGATGCAAGATGCAATTTTTTAACAATGAATTGAGCAAAATGTGACATAAAGCACAACTCTCTAATAAACTCTAATTTGATTTAACCGTACACATACAAATCCAAGACAATGCAAGCTCCCAAATTTTAAATATAAATAGCTGAGGAAAGCGAAGGACTTAGTTGTGTGTAATACTTTTGTTCCTATTCCTCAACATCATTTCATTGCTCTCTCTCATCATTCTGAAAATATGTGGGCATTTTCCATGCCTGGCAGCCTGCTGAGTCGTTGCTACCCACCACTAACATCACTTCATCCTTGAAATGATTACATATGTAGTTTACAAGCTTAGAACAGAAGCAAACATTCATGTACCAGATACTGTTCAAAATATATTTCTTGTGACTAGTGAAGCCAGATGCTCTGCAGCACTAGAGAGGAGACATCAATCTATGAGGCAATAGCTTCTTCAGATGCATTCAATATTTTCCTGAGAAATCGCATGACTCTCTCAGGCTACAGCAGCACATAATCTCTCTGAAGGTTTTCCTCAGCTCTTGGCTTCGGAAAGCGTAGATAAGCGGATCGATAATGGAGTTACACATGATTAGAATGAGGTACAGGTGAAAATGGGACATAAAACAGATACAGTAGGGATTGTGAGGGCATGAAATGTAGAAAAGCAAGTGGAGGAAGAGTGGGGCCCAGCACACGACAAAGACTCCAATCAAGATGGTCAAAGTGATGGCGCCCTTCATATTGGCCCCTTGACGAATTGGGCCGGTGCCTGGGAGAATTGCAATCTTTTTCATGTGCAGCCGGGCTAGCATGAACATGTGGACGTAGAGAGATGCCATGAGGACTAACATGGTGAAGAACATGGCAATGAGGCAAATGATGACAACGCTGCTGTCAGAATAAATAATGAACAGGACACCCGAAACTGTGCAAGCGGCCCAGATACAGGTGATGATGATACCGACACGCCTCCCTGTCATGATGTTGTGGTACTGGAGAGCGTAGAAGATTGTGAAATACCTGTCCACAGCTATGGAAAGCAGACTGCAAATGGAGGCCAGGAGAGAGCTGCAAATCACCGAGTCAATGATATTGTCGATGCTAACGGTAAAACTGTGTGTGTCGACCTCCGTATTGTTCAACCAGGTGATGACGATGGTTTCTGATCCATTGGAGATGCTCACCAGCAAGTCAGCCACCGCTAAGCTGCAAATAAAAAAGTACATCGGGGAGTGCAGATTCTTGTTCTTGGCTATAGCTGCGATCACCAGTATGTTCTCAAGCAAGCTGACAAAGCCTAAGGTCACAAATACTTCTGGCGAGACAAAAAGTTGCTCATAACAGCCTTCTGAAGAGTAGCCTTTTTCCATCGATCTATTCAGATCACTGTGACGTAGTCCATGGCTGTGGTTCCATGCATGAAGAGGCCGATGAATTCCATAGCGGTAAGTGAAATTCATTCTTACAAGGTCTTCATCCACAAGCACATCATGTTTGGCCAACTTGCAGCTTGCAGATTAATTCCATGCATTCCTTCCAAGCGTCCCTCTTTGAATGGCACCCTGGGATTTTCAGTAGCTAGATTTTTCTACATGCCATTCCAAAGAGCAGCAGGGTGCACATCAGAAAGAAAGCAGGTTCGTTATGCAATATCTATATCTATATATATATATATCAGTCAGGTGTCTGGCAATTAATGCTTTGCCAACTCCACAAGTACCTGTATTCACTGGGATGAATACATCTGAAAGTGGCTTTCTTCTCTTTTATCTCCTGAATCGGTAAAACAAAAGCACCAGAAATGAAATGCTCTTGCTGCTGCTGCTTGGGATTTTTAAAACAATTGTTTCAGAATAAAAATACCACTCAGCTATCTATGCAATGCTTGCCCGACTGCCTGCTTTCTGCTGCTTCTTATACGGAGATGGCATAGAAAGGTACTTAAAGGCAGCTCTTCCCCACCCCTTTAATTTAGCGATCAGCCAATAGAGAGGAAGGGAAGAGGGAGTGCGGGAGGCACTGAATTCTTTTCAGTTTTTCTACGTTTTTTTCTTGCAGGAGGGCTTCCAAGACGATGTAATTCCTGTATGTATTTTGTATCCTGAATGATACAAAGGAGTCCAAATCGGCACAGGCTGGCAGGTTCCTTTTGCTTGTGTAGATGTTGTGATTGATGATGGTGAGCATAATCGGAATCCCTTCTAGCTTGCCAGCAGGATGAGTGGATGTAGAAAAGAAAAGAAAAAAACCTATTTTACAGCGAGGGAAAGAACAATAAAGTTTCTGCGAAGATAGTAAGCGATCATGAAGTGAGATCGTGGGTTGAATCAGCCAACCGGTCAAGGAAGGAGCAGAGGTGTAGCATTGTCTTGGCATCCTCATCGGACCAAGTTCAGTGTCTGTGGTTTGTAGTAATACATAAGTTACTTTTCAAACTGTAACCTGTAAGCAAAAATATGAAACCAAGAGAAGCATGCTTCAGATTCAGAATGAGAGTGAATGAGGCAAACTATAAAGCAATAAAGGCTAGCATTTGAAATGAATGTGGTGCCTAATTATTCTATTTCTCTTGAATAAATATTTAGCTCCTTAATTATAAGGAATGTGGGTTTTTTTTCTCCCAGTAATCTGTCTAATGGAACGAGAGTAAAATACCTCATTATAAATTTTATTCACATGAAAAAGGCATTAGTTTCAGTTGTCCATGTGTGGGGGTGAACAGTGAAGTACATTAATATTTTAATTATCTAAATGGAAGACTAGGTTTCTCTCACTCCAAACTATTTATCTTTAAATTATACATGTCAGATTGCAAGAATTATTTTAATTTTTTCAGGAATATGAAAACAGAGGGTGATTTGTTTGTTTGTTTGTTTATTTGAAGGAGACTGACGATTTCCTAAATTCAGATTGTCTTTCTTATGAATAAATACAGTAAGTTGAATTGCTGTGAACATTGGTGCTATTTCCTTTATATTTCATTCCCTTCTGAGATCTATTTCTATGTTTCTGAATACAAACAGACATGAAGAGAATCTTGTAAAAAATGGCACGTTAACCCTAAATGTCATCAAATTAGCAATTAATATGGATTTGTTCAAGAGATGTGATGTGATAAGAAGAAATAAAGATTTGTAACCTTAGGGGGTAGAAATTTGTTGTGAACACATTTGTTGTGATGATGGTTAGAAGTCCTTTCTTTCTTTCTCTCTTTTCCTTCCTTCCCATTTTAATCCTTTTTTTCTATTCTTCTTTAAGTTTACTGCAATTTATTATGTGTGCCAGATTTTAGTTCTACAATTAAATCTGCAAGTCAGCTTGTAAAAGGACTCTTACCCCGCCCCACCCCCCAAAAAATCCTTTTGTATATATCAATAGGCATAACAAAAAAATAGAAAGAAAACTCACAATGTAGGATAAATGTTTCTCAATGCACAAGGCAGGATGGTAGCTGTCATTCAAGGCACCAGTGAAGCCACAATGTCCACAGATGGACAAAAGTAACAAAACTGACAAAACAGGGTAGGTGAATGATTAGTACGAAGACTATTAGATGGTAGCAAATAGATACTTACAAAAAAGTAAATGTCTATCGAGATTCTCAGTCATCCAGATCATGGTTGTACCGAAGGTGCTTTTTTGCAAGAGGCAACTGGACTTGTTATTCTTTGAAGTTGTTTCTCTTCTCATTCTCATTCTTGGATGAGAAGTGAAACGTCTTCAAAGAATTACAGCAAACCAATTTTGCCCTTTATTGGATATATGGAGTTTTGCAGGCCACAACTCATAGGCACTGCTGTTGCTCTTATTCCTGATGAACAGCTTGAGTGTGCAAGCCCATTGCGCCAGAAGACACCTTCTCTTCCAGAAGGAACCACTAGCTCCTTAATTGATTACTATCACTTTAATTGAAGTCCCATCTGGTTTGCACTGAAACCCAGAGAGGTCAGTATACATCCCAGTGCTTTCCATTTAGCATTTATCCTTTTTCTCCTCCCAGGATTTCAGTGGTCTAGTGCAGTGGTGGGATTCAAAAGTTTACTACCAGTTCTGTGGGCGTGGCTTGGTGGGCGTGGCTTGGTGGGCATGGCAGGGAAAGGATACTGTAAAATCTCCATTCCCACCCCACTCCAGGGAAGGATACTGTAAAATCTCCATTCCCACCCCAGTCCAGGGAAAGGTTACTGCAAAATCCCCATTTCCTCCCAATCAGCTGGGACTCGGGAGGCAGAGAATAGATGGGGGTGGGGCCACTCAGAGGTGGTACCAGTTCTCCGAACTACTCAAAATTTCCTCTACTAGTTCTCTAGAATTGGTCAGAACCTGCTGAATACAACCTCTGATATAGTGCCCTGATCTGGTAGCTACTAGGAAGGGCAAAAGTGAGGCAGAATATAGCACCATTGTCATTTTTGAGGAAGATCCTGGCCTAGTTTAGCTGTCCAGTTGTATTTTCCAATCTAATGTTCTTGTGTATAGTTTTTCTGTTGTTGTTTTGCTTTGAAATGGAATTACCCAGTAGTCAAAGAGAAGAGAGATTTAGACTGCCATTATATTGCCTCTTACTGAATACAGCTGAATGTTTTAATAAACAGGTATATACAATAACATAAGAGGCTAACAGACCTTAAAGCAGGACACATTGCAAGGAAAGGTATTATTTTTTCTAAGCAAATCTGCATGGTGTGGCTCAGGGATAGGTTGCTCCGCCCACGCACCCAGATGTCATCAAAAATGCTCTGTGTCTGCACAGAACCTTCTGTGCGTGCACAGAACCTTCTGCGTGTGCACAGAAGTGCTGCATGCTCATGAAGCGAGCCAACATGCCCGCGCACTCCCAATAGTGAACCGGTAGCGCCGGGATTTGACTCCAACTACAGGTATGGCTTTATGCCTTCAGGGCTACAGAAGATTGAGCCAACCATGCAAATTGGGCAACTGAGAAGCAAGATCATCACGCCCTGTTCAAATACTAGATTTTTAGAATTAGTAACAGGATTCCATGTCAATTTTTTAAGAATTGCTCTCTTCCCCAAGGTCTCCTTGTGTGTAAATTTGATTTTTCATTTTCTATGAGCTTATTTTGAACTAGTAATAATACCAAACACTTGCCCTCATCTCCTTATTTTAATTCATTTATATTCACCCTTTTCTCCAGGAAAGGTTTATATTTTCAAGAATGAGAGGAAATGATTCATACAGAGGGAAAAAGAGAATAACAAGTCCAAGGCCATCCAGTGAGTGGTGCCAAGCATCCATATGGATTTCTCCTCCAGTTTTTTATATATCTGAGGCAATGAGTTGATCCCTGTTTCTTTCTCTAAAGTACTTCTGTTTTCTCTTACTCATCTGTATCTAGAAAACCTAGAAAAAGTTATTCTCGTTTCTGTCCAATATGTGCATATGCATGCATGCACACTGGTTATGCATAAAACATAAAAATGTATGTGTTTTAATGTTATGCACTGGAGGCTTTCTATATTCTGCTAAACTCTGGACATATCATGCCCTTGACAATGTTGCCATGACAATCCAAAAGCACCAGAACAGGGGGCAGCATTTAGCCAGTCTTGGCTAACTTCAAAAAAATATCTGAGCGGGACTAAATTAATATTTGGATAGGAGACCACCAAGAAATCCTACAACATTAATCTAGTTTGGAGAAAATAAAATAAGGCATCCTATAAACAGGCAATGGCAACCACTTCCATCTTGTTGCCAATTTACTTATACACAAAGCCCCCACTGATGGATATGTCCATGTAGACTTGAGGTCAGCTCAAGCAAGATTTTACTTTTGCTACTTGAAAGGCCAACTTGAAGATTTGCAAAGTGATTCAATGCAACCTGGAGTCTACAAGCCATCAGTCCAATAAATTCCAACTTATCTCCAGAAATAGTTTACCCTGTTTCCCCGAAAATAAGACCCAACCGGAAAATAAGCCCTAGCATGATTTTTCAGGATGCTCATAATATAAGCCCTACCCCAAAAATAAGCCCCAGTTAAGATCGTCAACCAGATGGAGGCGTTTAGTACTGTATTTTCCCCAAAATAAGACCTTAACCAGAAAATAAGCCATAATGCATCTTTTGGAGCAAAAATTAATATAAGACCCGGTCTTATTATGGGGAAAACACGGTATATTTACAAGCAAGTTCTGACACTGTAGCAAACATCCTAGCAAGAAAATTTGGTCATAAATCTAAGCTAATCAATTTCCATTATTTATTCTTCTCAGAAGTACATCTCAAAGTTGTGCTTTTTTATTCCCAGTGCACAGTTTGACAGTTGACTAAAGAATGAGTGAAGTTCTTAATGAGTTATTAAGAAAGTTTTCGAGTCTGAAGACCAGCCAAGTAAGCTTGTTTGCAGCTGTAAGCTCTTGGCAACAGAACAGCTCTTCTTCCCAGGAGTAAACAAAGTGTTTGTAATAGAATGGAGTGATTCTATTGCCAAGATTCTCAGGCCTCATATACCCAATACTCATTTCCTCAAGTCAAAGTTCAGATAGCAATTCATTCTAGAGATCTCATGGTGTTCTGTTTGTGGGTGATGCCTTTGCGAAATAGACACGATGCTGTCATATTTTAGAAACAGAGCTTAAATCCTTTTATTGTGGCTGTTTTCTAAGATTTCTCAGAGCAGATTTTCATATATCAAATTCAATAACCTTTTCAACTACCTCTATTTTCATTAGAAATGTTTACTCCATTCCAGAGAAAATTGGATTGAAACCCCATAGCAACTAATCTTGCTGGATCTGTGAGCAGAGAGGTTCCTTCAGAATATTGATATGATCGCCTGTTCTCTCCCATTGTTGCTACAATGCAACCCAGAGATTTATGCTACATTTTCAAAAACGAGTGGGGGGGAGCCTTGATAACTTCACCCATA